ACGCATCCTGCACTGCAGGATGCTCAAATCCCATAGTCGTCTTCTGGTTAAATGACTCCAAGGCAACTAGGAGCAAGGGACCACTACAATGAGCCGCGAAATCTGGCTCGAAGAATTATACCTTATGTAATATTTCCGTGTTTGGAATCAATTCCTGGGAGGGATGAACCTATTAATGAAGTTTGACTCGTTTGAATGATAACCGTTTTTAAACCGGCTTCCAGCATGTGCTACTGCAGGACAGTTTCGTAGTTATTCGCTTCCAGGCGGTTTACAGAGCTTAAGCCGTGCGAATTGACGCGGCAAAGATGGCTTATTAAGCATAGTCCCGATAAGGCGTGCACAGAAAATGACTTATTCAGGTTAACGCGAAATGGCACATTGGAGGTAGGGCATTAGGATGCCACAAACATTTAGACAGGTACGTGCGAACACGACATTTTTTTGTAGAAGGAAAATGCCTTTGAGGGTCATATAAAGAGATACCATTGGTTTAAGAATCTAACACTTTTCAGCGAGGTCAAAAGTGGTTTCTCAGCTAGCAGAAACATGTAGGATAAATATTCAATTAGGTGACTAATCTGGCAAAGAACGGGGTAAGAAGCTCTTTAAGCTTTATCGCCATTTCTAGGCCTGCACTTTAGTGAAGAGCCATATTTGACAAAAACAGCAAAATAGCATAACGCAGTCAATTGACACTGTATCTGAATCATCGGGTAAGTTAGTTAATTAATAAATGTAACTTCGCAGTGGCGACAGGCACTTATGATTTTATTAGAAATTCATTAAGTTATTATATAATAACGATTTTAATTAAACACTGGTGGTTGAGCGGTTCACGTTTCAGGGCAACAAGCGCAACAGATGGAAAATCCTTTTACTGCCAACGCGTTTCACTCTATACACCGTAACATCATCAGGGCTGAACTGAATACAGATTACTGTTTGAGGGCAATTATGTTAGAAGCGTGAAGTGGTGATGATGGTACGGTTCATGCAGTGAAACGTGTTGGCAATAAACAGTTTTACCATCGGTTGCACTTGGTGTCAGAACCATGAATCACTGAATCACTCAAGGCCCAGAGTCAAAAACTTGAGGTGTTACGTACTTAAATAAATCTGCAGTAGTTAATGGCGATGAGATAATAGTTGCGCAACTGATGTGTAACAACGAAAACGGCAAAACTTATCATCAGACATGGTGGGCTAGATGCACGTTATTACGTGTTGCCACTGGTGCATGTGACTGAAACCCGTTCGCAAACGTTACGATGCCTAACTTGAAAAAGTAAATTCCAACCACCAGCACTAATCATATGGACGCAGTGACAGGTACAGTCTCTGTTGCTTTGGCCAAACCTTCCTGGAAATGGGCCAGCGAGTTAACCTGATGTGAGTGACGGTGCGAGACAGCAAAAAAGAAACGGAAAATTCCAACCGTAACAGATGTGTCTTACGAAAAAACTCAAAAAATAATGATCACTACCCAACAACATTCTTTACAGCATTGCAGTTCGCCATGTTGGTAGAAAAAGGGCTTTGAAACTAGGACGGCCTGCATTACAGCTTGCTCCTCAAACTGCACTCAAGTTTAAAGGATACATACCTATGCGTTCACCGAAACCTTCTCGGTTTTAAACGCCCAACCCTCTGGATTCCATTACGTT